AGAGGGTCATTAAAATTTCAGTGGAGCTAAACAGGAGAGGTATTGGAGAAAAAACTGAGGATAATGGTTTTCATGGAGGAACAGATGTTTATATTAAGCTGTAGACTCAGGAATGAAAGGTGGCTGGGGAGACAGACATGAAGATTAGTTTCCTTTAGGACTCAGTCATATCCAGGTAACACTGGTATGATGATCATCCTTTTTGGGGGGGCTTTTGCCATCTTCACCAATTTGCTACTTTGGACAACTATAGACTTTATCTATTCCTAGAGCTAGCCCTGGAACTAAGCATGCTCTCCTTATCACATTTTTCTCAGTAAGGAAAGACATGCACATACTGATGTCTTTCAGAAGGAGCAGGGAGATGCTCTGGCTCCTTGATTGTTAAGACACAGTGGAATCACTATGAGCTCCTCCTCCTTGTTTCTGAAATGAACTTTGATTTTTCCTGTGTGAAGTAGTTATGGTCTAGGCCTGCCTAACAAGTCAAGCTGTTAAGGAATGGGGACACAAACACCTAGTTCTTACATTGCATTGAACAGTAGTCACAAGCACCGAGCTAGCTCTTGAAAGACATCACGCTACTTTTGAGGATTTTTTTTTTTTGGTCAGATAGCATAGGTATGTAGACACCTGTCCAACTGATGCAATGTCCTTAGAAAATAACCTTTTTTATTGCTCTCTTTAGCTTAGACATCCATATTTTGTCTAAGTTGTATTATAAGGCAGTTAGTTCTTAGTGCCTAACTCCCCTGATGCTCAGAAAACAAATTTGAATTCCAGCTGCCTGTGATAGAGATGAGAAGCTGCAAAAACATCTTCTGAGATGAGAAGAATAAAACCAAGGGAGAATCTGGAGAATAGAGCATTTAGAGTGAAACACTAGCTATTAATGGGCTGGTGTGTTTGAAGAGCTCTTGGGAGTTCTCCGTTACCATTCTACCATGAAATTAGGCAGAATTCACTGTGTCTCACGGCATTTATCCCCTTTCTGGATATTGCTTAGGCAGAAATTATTTGAATGCAGAGTTTCAGCAAATGTCAGTACATTTATAAGAATGTTTAGGGCATCCTAAAAACATATCCATGCCTTACTTGACCTTTTGGGCAAATTGTGCTATCATTGTATCATCATAGAATCATAGAATGGTTTGGGTTGGGAAAGGATCTTAAAGGTCATCTAGTTCCAACCCCCCTGCCATGGGCAGGGGCACCCGCCACTAGACCAGGTCGCCAGACTGTATAATTATGATTTTCTGGAATAAGACATATTATGCTATCAGACCCAAGTTTGGGTAATGGAAAAAATACCTGTGTATTTGTTTGGGGACAGACAGACACAGGCACCCAAAACCAAATTGTCATGATGCAGCAAGGGCCAGCTGCTCTTGAAGGGACAGGCAGCCAAGAGCCAAGAGGGTCCCTGGGCCAGCAGGGCAGGGGCCTCACTGGCCAGGACTTGTCCCGCCAACCTCCAGGGCAGGTCTGGGGGATGGCAGCCAGGCGCAGTACAGAGTCCAGATTGCCAAACACTCCATGTTGATGAGGCTGGTCTGAGGTCAAGCCAGGAAAGTGAGTTAGCCGGTTCAGTGACACTAACCAAGTCAGACGCAGCCCAGTGACCAGCTGTGCGGGTCTGTAGTGATGAGGCCAAGCTGAGGTCTGGCTGTAATGTCAGGCTGTAAGTCAGGGACTAGATCACCAGGTCTGTGGCCAAGCACAGCCATGGCAGTGATGCAGCAGGAGATGTAGCTCAGACAGAGATAAAGCACAAAAGCCCCAGCTGAAGGCAGCTCCCAGAGGCCAGTGGTCAGCCCTGGCTGCAGCCTCACTGCAGCATTGCGTGGGAGCATGTCACCAGCGAGGAGGAGGCAGCCCTTGGCTACCCTATTGCTAAGCTGGCCCTGAGCCCCAGCAGCCATACCTCTGGGAGAGGGGATGCTCTCAGGGCCCTTACAGCTATATGTTAGGCTCCCTTTGTTTTTCCATACAAGTATTCATACAGTTTGTATAGATCACCCAGGGAAAAGGAAGAAAATGCAGGTTGCTGGTACAAAGTGTAATTATGGCAGCACAACATGGAAAATCTAACAACAGCTAACTTGGAGGGTTGCAGTGATAGTTATGGAGTGTTAGAAGGAAAGTTTAGTGTCATGCTCCATACTTTTTTATCTGGCACGTTAAGATTATTTTCATCAATTATTTAAAGAAAAAAAAAATATGCATGCCTTGTTGTTACAGTGTGTGTGTCTCATGTGGTTTTGATCTTCCAGTTCAGCCTCTTTTAAAATTTATTTTGTACAAAAAATAGGATAAAAATCCAAATGTTTACAATGTGTTTCATTTAAACCAGTTTAAGAAAATGCTTAACAAATCAATGAAACTGACTGAAATCTTCTATGAGTCTAAAATTTGTCTTCTAGTTCCTGATTCTGCACCAGAAAACATAACCTATAGGAACATCTCATCCATGGAAATTGAATTATCATTTTTTCCACCATCCATTCCCAATGGAATCATACAGACCTACACAATATATCTCAAGAGGACTAATGGAACTGAGCAAAGAGTCATAAACACTACTCTTCTGATGCTACGTATTACAGGCCAGTATATAATGATCTGGAACTTAGGGCAACTGTAAATTGTTCTGAGAAGGGATCAGCAGACTGATGCAGATCAATTAGTTCGTTGGTTGGACATGATCCTTCTTGTTCTTACATAAAAAGATATGCTATATATGCATATATACATATATGCTACCTGTTCAACTGAAACCAGGATATTCCCTTTCTACTCACCTTTGCATCTTTTTCTGTGTTCTGTCATTATTACTGAGGCATGACACAGCAGTTAATGCTGGGACTTCAGTACCTTAATCAGTAAATTCTCAGAGTACAGCCAAGGACAAACTGTAAAAGCATTCTAGGAATATGAAGTATAAACTCAGTTAGGGCTTTGCTCCTTCTTTTGTTCATGAAGAATACTTTGCGTTCAAGTTTTCCTCATGATTATTTCAGTCTCTAAAGACACAGATCAGTGTGATGGGCCTATTCAGCATTTCAAAACTACTACGGTCCATTAAAACACCTAATTTAGCCCACGAAATGGTTGGTTTACTGAATTCTTCTTCTTTATTTAGATTTAAAGAAATATACAGAATATACTGTAGAAGTGTCTGCTAGTACCACAATGGGGGAGGGCCTTCGTAGTGCTCCTCTGCATATACTGACTGATGAAGATGGTAAGTCAGAACAGAAGTTGCAATGCATCATTGTTTGCCTGTGGTTCGAAACTAATCTTACACTTCATATAAAATATGTGTAGGTTTTATATACTTTTTTGCAATTATATCTCCATATTGATATCTGAATCTATCTATCCACACACATACACATCTGTCTATCTATCTGTCTGTCTATCTATCTATCATCTCTCTATCTATCTAGTATTTAATATATTTATCAGTACAAGCTATGTGAAATGGCAAAATTGCTGTGTATGGCCATTTGGTCTTACCAATAACTTATGTAGTTGAGGAATCTTAGTTAACTAATATTATTTTAATCGAATACACAACATGGTAGAATTAAATACTGTGTTTGGTTCTGCAGACATGGGAGAGCTGGAGAAATGGAAAACCACCAAAAGGTAGCTTGAATGGTCCAGGGACGTTTCTGGTTCTTTTGTTTGGAGATTTTTTGATTCTTCTAAACAGATGCATGTACAGATATATAAATACAGAAGTAGAATTATTAATATCATGAAAAAGCTCAAAGTCCATCATCTATAGCACTGGAGTTACAAATTGAGCAGGCAGGTGTTCTGCACTGCAGGCTGAGAGTAGAACATAGTCATTGCATCCCCTGTTAATTAGTACAGTAGGTCACAAATCAGCAGAGGAATCTTAAACTGATATTTGTACTTTCAGTACCCAATTTAGTTGTGGGAAGTTATTGGTCTCCTCCATATTTTCTGGAGGGAGAATTCTGAAAAAATTCAAAGCAGAATCTTAACTTAGGTGCTGTAACTCACATTTTGGAGGAGCCTATGTCTGTCTGTCTCTATTGCTTAGGGAGGAGGTCTCTGAGAACCTAGACTAAAGCGGCATTGACACAAACATCCCACCAAACATTCCCAAATTAAGTCTCTTTTCATGTCTTAGGGAGCACTGACTTGCCTAAGATCCAGCTTTTGATGATAATGGATCTTTCCAAATCTCTAAGATGTTGATGGGCTTACATTCACACCGTCAGTAATAAACCTTTGCTCAAGAGTAATGTTGCTGGAGCACACTGGGAACAGCAAACTTGGATAAATCCATATTTTGCATAGAGTATTTTTATTTAAAGCAATGTAGATTCTGTTCTTAAGCAAAAAATATCCTCTGAATAAGAACTATAGAATGAACCAGACCTGCCAAATATGCAAGACATTCACAGTATGACAGACCTTTTATTATATAGCCACTGAGGATAATATAACAAGTAAAACACTAAATACAGCTGTCACTATTTTTTCGCTAGTAAATACAGACATTCACTGAAATCAGTGAGCTTTTGTTCATGAAAAATATTTTTTCCTTAAATGTAGAGTTCTAAAACCTTTATGCCAACTTTTGAGATAGTGAAGGAACTTTTGAAAGAAAGAATAACAACTGAAAAACAGCAATATTCATAATACACCACATGTACTTTATTCTCAGGAACACAGTGTTCCAAGGTTCAGACCAAATGTTTCATAGATTTGCTAATAGCTATGCTCATATTCTCAATTTCCATGCATGACTACAGCTATGACCTGAATTTTTAGTCCATGATGCTCTTTGGTTTAATTTGAGATAAACAAAAGTAATTCTAATATTACTACATAGTGATACCTATATCTGCGAAGAAAGATAAAGATTTTCTTCTCAATAACATGCTAACACAAGGCAGTATCACTTATTGATACATAGGTATATTTTCCCTCAGTAATATTTATATAAACTTTAGAGTAATTCAGTTAGAACAAAATCAAACATGGTCTAACATTGTCATTTACTTACAGTGTTTCCCTACAATACAGTGTCATGTAGAGTTCATATTAAAATTAATTTTAAGGGTCTCGGTCCATGCCTATCTTTATATTTGCCCTTGTGACATGTTAAATATATGAATGTGGTCCTTATTTGATGGAGTGAATAGATTTTACCGCTGCCTAGTATCCCACATTTTTATCATCTCTCAATGCTATGCTTATCCAATTTTCCACCTCTTAGTGCTTTGTATAATTCTTTACAGCACCTCTTTTTCCTCAGGGGAACTATTTTGCTGTATTTTACATTTGTTCATACCTATAAAGCTCTTGCTTTTATTAGAAGAGGAAGAAAAGTATTACAGCAATGTACTTGGATGGTAGGTGAATCACTGTGACCTACCCGTTGTTCTGTTTTCTCATGAAGTACTTTTTCCATTGAATCACAGAAACAGATGTTCTAACACCACCATGCAAAATCTTCTTTTATCATCTGTCAGGAAAAGGAAAAGAAGCTGTGCCTTAACATTAGTTGATAGATACTGTACCAGTGTACTACAAAGTTCACTTTCCATCACAAATAATTAAAAACCTATTTAAGGATGCTACATATCCCACTGATCTTAGCTGTTTAACAAGATGTTGTGTCCTATTCTCTCATTTTATAGCTCCAAGTTCTCCTCCAGAATCCCTCTCCGTAAAACAGTTGTCGGGTGTCACTGTGAAGTTGTCATGGAAACCTCCACTGGAGCCAAATGGAATTATCCTCTATTACACAGTTTACGTCTGGTAAGATTTTCTGGAAATAGTTCTGAGGATAAATATTAATCTGTAACCTATCAGGAATGTTAGGTTTTTCTTACACAATGTGTTGATTACACGTTTTTGGAGAACTAATATTCATCCAGCACTTAAAAAACTAGCCTTTTGTATATACAAATTCAGACATAATGTAGTAGCTGAAAATTGGGGCATTAAATATTTTGTAAGCATGTTCAACATTTTTCTAAAGGTTATATTACGGTAAATGAATTCAAGTTTAAATTAGAACATGGTGACTATTTTCATTATATCTGGATTAGGCCTATTGTAAGGCAGAGCACAAACCTATGCTAAATTGTCAAGGAGATTTGAAATCGGCTTAAAAGAGAGAAATATTGCTTCCTTTCGTAGGAAGTTTGTAAGAGCAATGTTAAGAGTCTTTGTACGTGCTATCCATTATGTCTGCTGTTATATTTTATATTTATCATATTCATAGCAAACAACTATTTTTAACAGATATTTTTCATTTACTGTGTGGGTTTTTTTCTATCTGCCCTTTTTTTTCCCCTAATTCTGTCTTTTTCTGCCATCTCTCTTGGGATCTTTCTTCACCTTTAAAAAAAACGGAGTTTTGTCACTATAGAACTTGCAGCTTCTGTCCTATTCTCTGCATAACATAGTTTGGGCTACTGATGTGGCATTTTTTCAAAGATCCATGTATAACTTCTACTGGGAGTGAAAAGATTTTGTTATTAATCACTTTTAATATATCACATTTATGCTGTACCATTTTATTGCCACTACTAAGGTGCAGGAAGCAAATGCTAACGTGCACCTGATGAGATGTGAACCAGATGTGCAAATCAGCAGTCTTTATAGACACACTACTATTGAGCTAACATTTATTATTTTAATGCTACTTGACAATTTGGGGATAGAGTTTGGCCTCAGTTCCTATTGATTTTTTTTTTTTTTTTAAATTCTAGCTTCTAGTTGAGTTGGTGATAAAGTGGAGTGAGCTCTTCTTTCCAGAAAAGTTAAATTTGGGTTGTCTTGTTACTTCTACTGTATTGGCAAGGTTAGGTGCTCTTTAACCACACAAAACATTAAAGACTATCCTGTAGCTAGGGAAGAGTTACTTCACGATAAGGATTATGGATTTGATACAGGCTGTGTTCAAAGACTTGAGGTTATTCAACTTTTTATACTTATATTGCCTTAAAGCTTACTGCTTTTGTTATTCTGACAAATGAATTAGTAAGAATTATTTAAAAACTGTTAATTGATCCATCTTTCCAAATATTTGAATTTAGCAACCACATAACTTTATGCAGTAAGCCTTGTCCTTTTTCCTTCCATATTCTCCTTGCTCTGTCTTATCTGTCCTTACTGTGCCATATCTAAAATTAGAGAGGCATTAGGTATCATCTTGAGGGAAGGGCATTGGAGAAAAACTCCCATTGCCTTCAAAGGGGCCACAACTTCTCTCCTTCCTTGGAGGTTTTGGGTTTGGGGGGGGG